CCGTGGTCCACGTGTCAGGGGCGGAAAAATGGCCGCGGACCACATGTCAGGGGTGGAAAAATGGCCGCGGACCACGTGTCAGGGGCAGAAAATGGCCGCGGACCGCGTGTCAGGGGCAGAAAAATGGTCGCGGACCATGTGTCAGGGATGGAAAAATGGCCGCGGACCACATGTCAGGGGTGGAAAAATGGCCGCGGACCACGTGTCAGGGGCGGAAAATGGCCGTGGACCATGTCACGGGAGGGAAAATGGCCGCGTATCCTGAGGCGGAGTTCACAAACCGAGGCAAAATTTTGTGGCCAGAGCTGGTCGTAATCCGAAAAGTTTGTTAACAGAAGTGTTCGTAACCCGAGGTTCCACTGCATTTATTTATTTATTTATTTATTTATTTATTTATTTATTTATTTATTCTCTGTAATATAAATTAATCTGCAAAACAGACAGAAAAGAAACATGGTCGCCCAACAATTCTGCTGGGGCAAAGGCCTATTGGAATAAAACAACATCAGGGGCTTTTTAAACAAGAAGAGAGTTGAAGCCAGGCATAATTCTTGAAGCAGAGTATTCCAAAATGTGAGGGCTATTGCCAAGAAGGCTTGGTGTTTTGTCCCCTCCCCATGGACCTTCCAAGTGGGGGGTGGGATACTCCACAGGCCTTCTTCAGATAACTAGATGGGCAGAATCATGCTTGGCAAGGTGATCCTGATAAATCCCAGGGCCATCCTGTATAGACCTTTATAGATGATAACCAGAACTTTGAGAAAGCTGAACAGGGTCAGATATGGTTAGCACTTTAAGAGGAAACCTCCACAAAATTTCACAGCTGTAGCCCAAGTCTCAGAAGAGAGCAACTGCAAGCCAGTTTTGTGCCGATGCCAAGAAAACAACATGGAGTCGAGCTCAATTTGAAGACATTTCCTTCTCACCTGAACAACAATAACTTCAACACTTTAAACTTCACCCTCAAATCTGAAGTAATCTTTCTGAACCAGAAGTCCTCTGAAAGAAAAGGAACCCTACCTTGTTGAGTTCCTAAAGTCAGAGGCGTTATTTTCATCTACGGGAGCCAGAAATTTTAAGAAGTTTGGCACAGAAGAGGAACAGTGAAGTTTTTTCTGGAGAGCAGAACGGTAAGAGATGCTGAGCGTGGTTGAAAAGGGTAGTTCAGAAGGGGGGAAGTTTAGCATGATGAGTAAAACACACAAACAAAAAGAGAAAACAAATCAACAAAGGAATAAGTACTGTATCAAATCAGGAAAAAGGTAATACTCATAGGAATTAAAACAAAGCAAAAGTTAACATTGTCAGCTATATAATTTTTTAGGAACTGCTTAGAGAAGTGTTTCTCAACCTTGGCTGTTTCAGATGAGTGGACTTCAACTCCCAGAATTCCCCAGCCAGCTGGCTGGGGAATTCTGGGAATTGAAGTCCACCCATCTGAAACAGCCAAGGTTGAGAAACCCTGACTCGGAGGCTCATTCCATTTTCAGCAAAGGTTATGAAGCCTCTTTTCTGCAGTCTTCTTCGGACAGTGGAAAATGAAACTAAGTGCAGCATCTTAGCATTTTATCCTATTTCAAATTAACAAAGGATCAAATGATGAAAACAGAAGCTTACATTGTGTTGTAAGTTGTACTGAAATGTGCACGTGACATCATGACGCATGCACAAAAGGGGCAAGGCTTGCGTTGCGGTCCTTGTGATGCTGCTTCTGTCAGACGGACACATTTGACACCCCCTGAAGATGCTGCTGGAGACCACTTTTTGAGCTGGTCTCATAAATCTCAGGAGGAACACGTGACTCACAACCATTGTTTTTTTGTTTTTTGCCACTTTCCAAGGGCAATTGTAAAAGACATAATCATGCAAAGGGTAATTCGGTTATGTGCACAAGGACATCGTCACCCAAAGGATGTAAATCTCAGCAGAAATGTAGTCTTCTATTGCATCGCAATTTGGGGAATTGAGGATTCACTGAACACACACGATATGATATTACATGGGAAAATCTTTCTCACGAAGGTCTGGAATTGTATGCTGAAGTTTAACAATGTGTTAATAAGCTAAATAAAGCATGGGGTGCATTGAGTCCAAATATCTCTTAATATTCCAAACCAGTTGGAAAGTGACAGGAAATTGAGATGGGGGGGGGGAATACAATCTATTAAACGGGTATTCAAAAGGGTGAATGTGAGAGTGTAGTGTAGAAGAATTACCTTGTAAATTGGGGAGGTAGGAATAGCCTTACATTCTCTGAGAATGTGGTAACAAAGGAAGATGCTGTTGAAATCAGCCCCCAATAATGTGAGATACAAACACTGAAAGCAAAGATCTAAAAGATGGCAGAGTAGAAGAAGCTCATAAGCTGCCTCTTGCTGCCTCCAGGTGTAGAGGATGAGTATCTGCAGTGGAAAGCCTCCTCTATCTATGGAAGATTTCCCCCTCCGAAGACTCAAGAAAATTCAGATCCTCAGTTGTGAGGCCTCCATGGAGAGGAAGACTCCCCACTGCACACACATGGAGGAAGAGTAGTCCTCTAGTTTGGCATCTAGTTTAGAAAGGGCTATTGTAATTATGTGGGAAGTGTAAAATAGGTGAAAGTACAGACTTGTCCTACCACTAACCCATTTTGGTTTGATATCCATAAGTTTGTTGACGTGGTATTACACAGAACTCTCCTTCTCTCTGTCACACACACAACTTTAGAGAAAAACCATTGCCAGGACTGGTTTCAGAAGAATTATAACCCTACTTGACAATGTAGGGAAGCAGGGCAGAGTACAATAATTTTGTCTGTGTTTCTAACCTTTCTTCTCTCTAGCCTTTTATTTGGGGACTTTTATTTGTTAAGCTTGTACTCATTACTTGGATCTTTAGGTTTTGATTTTGTTTTAATTGTTTCTAATTTTTGTTTCAATTTTATGTGTTAAAATTAATTGCCTACATCATGTAAATCGATAAGGGCCAATTCAGGTTGTGGTGACATATAAATGCAATAATATAATAATATAATAACTGGCTGAGATATGCTTACTTCAGCCTGAGACTTTGAATAAGGTATATAAAGTTTTATTCCTTCCTAGATTACATGTAGCTAATTAACTAACCCATGACTAAGAACTACATCATGGTAGCAAGATAGGATCATGAATAGGGCCTGAAACTGTTGATTTATTTGTTTCAGGTTGATTTATTACTTCTCTTTGCCATGTACAAATGTCTTCAATGATAAATACTTATGAACTGATATGCCGTCAACCACATAGACACGCAAAAGCCATATATCTGTCCTCACCTCTTTGGCATGGCATGCCTGCCTTGTTCTCCACTTGAATTATGCCTAATGCGTTTTAAAAAGTTGGGTGAGGAGGCTGAGCAATGAAGTCGAGATGGAGGAGGAAGAGCAACAGCAGCAGCTAACGATGCCTGACTGGAAGAAGTGTTAGAGCTGCTGGCAGGTATGTTCAGTTTTTATAAGGACGATTCCAGCAGAGAAAAAAGAAAAAAGAAAAGAAAAAAGAAAAGAAAAGAAAAGAAAAGATGTGATACATGAAAGGCTGAGAACAAAAATAAAAGATGTACTGCAGCACTTTGAGTATGATCTATATGCCTTGTAACAGCATAGAAAGTGGCCTCGAGAAGCATATTAAAGCTCTTTTACTGACATTTGCTTCTTCTATGATCTTAGCCTCTCAGGATCTTCTGATCGTGTCTACTAATAAGGTCAGAATGAAGACTGGTAGGCATAATATATCAATACACGGAGCAGGTACTATTGCCTTACAGCTTTCATGCTTGGCAGAAGCCTCAGTTTTTAAGGAGGGCAAAGAGGCCTGTTTTCCAGCCCTTGAGAGTACAACAGGGCGTCAGCTTTGCAAAGCTTGGTAAGACCCTGGGGTAAAGGAAGGACAGCCTGAAATATATCAACAATACCAGGACCGGTTTCTTTCCAAACCTCCTACGTACTCATCCTGCATATCTAACCTTCCATGCTGAACAGCATCCATGCTCATTCAAACCAGTGGAGTTCAAAAGGTAACCACAGCGGATGCAAGATGCAGAGGAAGGAAGTCCAACACAGTTTGCAGCATACCATGGTCAGTGAATACATTCCTTGTGTCAAGGAGGTGACATGAAAGCATTAGGAGTTCCTATGAAATAGTGACAGACCGCACGGCCAACTGCATGACCAAGTTCTTATCAACTTCAGTTATTTATTTATTTATTTATTTAATTAATTAATTTTATTTATTAAATTTCTCCCCCATCCATCTCCCCCCAATGGGGGACTCTGGGCGACTCACACGAAACATTAAAACCATAAATATATATAAATACATAAAACATCAAAATTAAAAAAAAAACATTACTAAAAAATGGAAAAGGAGAGTCCAAGAAGATGAAGAACCTGGGGCTGAAGACAGCAGGCTTCTATGGGGCTAGCCATAGAAGTTATCTGAACAAACTTCAGTGATGTTTAAAACCATTACAATTCAAATGTAAAACTGAATAGAAGGGAATGTCACGCGACGAGCTCTGTTTCTTGGCTTGTATTCAGAGATGTTAGATACATTGGGAGGCCAAAGTCTTTGACAACAAATGTTTGTGTGTTTTTAATAAGGGAGGGACTCTCAAACTCACACCTGACTGTCATCTCATTGACTGGAACATCTGACTCAACGTATTCCTTTAAGTGAGCTGATTCTCATATATTTTTAACAAAAACAATGACAATTGTCTCAAAGGATTCAATAAGCCATGACACAGTACATTGAGTTGTGCCATGTTTGTTTAACCAGAATCTTTAATCTATTAACAGGACCTAGATGAAGTCAAATAACACTGTAGGTCACAGTAAAATTCTACATACGTTCTCTCGCCATTCCAATATGTGCTCGAAACAAGCTGTTCAGAACATGGACCAGAGCTTTCAACAGTTTAAAACAAAACCCAACATTCTCCTGTATTCTGAACATATAAGCAAAGCAAGTCAACGTCATACTCTAAACAAGAAACTGATCCTCCACATCTGAGAACCTGACATCAAAGACTAACTAACAGTTCAGCTTTTACTGAACAAGCACTGTCTAGTTGGAAATACCGTTGTGGTCAAATCTGGTATTAGAAGAAGCAAGCAAGCAACAAGGTTCAAAAGGAGGACAGTGAAGCCTCAGCTGTGACATTTCTTCAGTTCCTTTTTACCAGTAACTACTCATCCTAGGCGTGTCTCTTTTTTGTATTACGTTGAGGCAAGAAATAAAATTTGCTTTGGCATACATCCAATTTTGCAGCATTTCCAGCAAAGCCACAGATTATTTCAGATGAAGGGCATGCTAATGTGGAAAGGTGAAGGAGAAAGAATAATTAAAGAAAGGATGCAGTTGCATAAATTTTGCATTATGATTCTACATGCAATGATATGAAAAAACACTGCAGAGGAACATGAGACGAATGTCAGTATAAACAAACACACACCATCCAAGCACGGTTTCACAGTTTGCTAGGTTATAAAAAGGGCAGGGGGCTAATCCCTATTAGTGCAGAGAAGATACTTCCAGTTTTTTGTATCAAGAAGTTTCTTCGCTGTCTGTCTCACATTGCATCACATGTCTCTTTGTGCATCACACTGGCGGCCTCCAAAGATTTTGGACTATAAATTCATCAACTTCCTCCTTCTTGTAAGCCTATTCCTCCAATTACCTTTTGGGTTCATGTATTACCTATGGAGAATACCACAGGCAAATAACTCAGGTATATCAGTCCAGATAAATAAATCTAAGATTGGAGTCAGTTTACACTAAGCAGTTTCAGAGTTTTCTCTCCAGGCTTCTATGCTCTGTTTTAAATTGTTTTTAATTGTATTTTGGATGTTGTAAGCCACTCAGAGTCTTTTGCAGTAGGGTCGCTATAATAAATGTAAATTATAATAATACTAGAAACTAATATAATAGACATGTCCAAAATCACGAAAGAGTAGATGCTTGCTCCCTAGCCCAATTAATAAAGATTACTTAGAAGTTTCATTCGTAAAGCACATCATCATGGAAAGCAGACACTGTTACATCACTGGAGCATTTCAAACAGAGAGTCCATGCTATGGTTATGACAAAAAAGGAATTCCAAGAATGAATTCTCCTTTCCCTAAGCTTGACATACCTTAAAACATTTTCCCCAAATGTCTCTCCCCTGCTATAAACGTAATCTTACTTTTGCTGGTGAGGAGTCTCTGAGCTCATGGAATGATACCTCATAAGTTTTCTTTGTGAAACTGACGGAGACGCTTCAGTAGACTCAGATGACTCCTGGCTTTCCAATGGCATGTGGCTTAGGGTGTTAGCTCGCCTTCTAAAGCCTTGATAGGCTGATTGGGCAGGCTGTTCAGCAGAGGGACTTTCTGATGCAGTTGAGAGAAGGTCAAGATTGTCCACTGATCCATTTGATTTTAGAGGGCTCTCTGAGGGAAAGTGGTTTTCCTGGTCACAGAGAGATGTTTCCTGTCGAATTAAGTAAAATTGTCCATCAAAATGTGTGTGACCTAACAGTAGGGTATTTAAAATTGTTTTATTGTTAAATAGTAGATCATCTGGTTGCCTCGTATGAACAAATACATAAGGTTAGATAATCAAGCAGAAAGATTTCTGTAGACTGTAAAAGGGGGGCCAATCAAATTCATGTCCCCACTGTGCTTCTATAATAGTAGCTCTGTTATTATGGATAATAATGGACTTCTGTGAAGACCAACAGACAAGCTGGCAGAAGAAGAAAAAAAATATGCTCAATGGGAACTTGTGCATATGAGTCTCCATGGCACTCACCATGAAAGTAGAAAAATACCCCTAAAGGGAGATGAATCAACCGTATTTGGTCAACAACACAGAATGCGGAAGCAATCGGGGCCTTACCACATCTTTCTATTCCATAGTCAACCATGAGTCAAAGAGGGCACCGTGGAGACTCATGGTCATCCCCTTCTTAAAACAAGAACACACTTGGACAAAACAGACTTTAAGCAAGAAAGTCCATATTTTCTTGCAGATCACAAGTGAGAAATTATACAGATATACATACAGTAGATAGGTCTATTTTTCAAGCTTATTAGCACATTTATCATAAAGTGATTTGGACCTTTAAAAATAAAATATAACAATTACTGTAGGAATTTACTCTGGGCTAAAACCAAGGTAGATTATACCTTTTATGAAAGAAAGTGAGAAAATGGCAAAATAAGCTATTCCCTTTTTGTGTTGGTTTTACAGTGATTAGTTTACCTACTTTGCTTGTAGTACTGAGTGTGCTGGACAAGGAGCTATCCAAATCAATACTTCCAGAAGTTTCCTGTTGACTCTTACTTTTATTTCCCTGTCAAGAAAACCCTCATTTTATATATATTTAAAAAATACAAAGATACACATATGTTAAAAAATATGCAAATTCTTATAAAATTCATAAGTTCATAACTGAGTTGAGATCATTATTAAATTTAATTTCCTGGGTGAGCCTAACGCTACAAGAAGAACAGCCTGGTTTAGAAGGATGACTTAGATGGGCCAAGACACTGACTTTATAAGCAGCTAGAAATAAACAAAACGAAACAATAACATATATCCAAGTGCTATATGTGTTTTTGTGAAAAATCAGTATTATAGACGCCTTTAATCAGTGATTTTTAATTTTTTAAAAGAAAGGTTATCACAACGAGAACAGTCTGAACCTCAAACAATATTATTATTAAATAAAGAAAAATCAGGGAGTGGAACACATTGAAAATCTGCTAAAGGTACATTATTCCTCATCGCTTGTAAAACGAACAATAACATTAAAATGAGAATCAGATACAGTGGTACCTCTAGTTACGAACGCCCCTCCTTACGAATTTTTCGAGATACGACCACCTCCGGCCCCAAAAATTTCCCTCTACATGCGAATTCTGCATCAACTAACGAACCGGATCCGCGGCCATTTTCCCTGCTGCCACGCGGTTGCGGCTTCCTGTGGGC